TTATTTTAATATAAAAATAAAAAATATTTATTAGTAAAATTGAAAACTTTTATATAAAGAGAAAAACTCACATTTTTCATATTTTTATTATGTTTTATTAATAAATTTGTTTTAGTATTCCATTTTTTTTGATTACTACTATAATTATATATAAAAAAACTAATATAATAATAATAAAAATTAATCAATTATACAATAACAAAAATAATACAATAATATCAAAATTTATTAATTAAATATATATATTAATCTACTACAAATTATTATATATATAAAAATTTTGATAATAAAATATAGTAAAAGTTAAAATTTTCATTTTATAAAAAAGTTTTTATTTTAATTAATAAATATATTTTGTTTATATATAAAAATAAAGCTAAAAAATATATATTTCAATATATATTTTAGCTTTATTTTGATATAAAAACAAAAAATATTTATTAATTAAAATAAAAACTTTTTATAAAATGAAAATTTCAACTTTTACTATATTTTATTATTAAAATTTTTATATATACAGTAATTTATAATAGATTAATATATTAAAATATAAATTTTTCTTTTTATATAAAAATTTTCAATTTTACTAATCAATATTTTTTATTTTTATATTAAAATAAAAATAATATTATATATTTTAATATATATTTTTTTCAGATTTTTAGATTTAATCTGATCAAGTTATTTTAATTATATATAAAATTAATTATTTTTTTATAATTAAAATATATAAAAAAATAATTAAATTTATATGTAATAATAATTTAATCTGATTAAATCTAAAAAATCTAAAAAAAATATATATTAAAATATGTAATATTATCTTTATTTTAATATAAAAATAAAAAATATTGATTAGTAAAATTGAAAACTTTATATAAACAAATTCATATTTTACTATATTTAATTAATAAATTTTGACATAATTGTATTATTTTTGAAAATAATACAATAAATTATTATTATTAGATAAAAATTTTATTAATTAAAATTGTTTTTATTTTATTAGTACTAACAAAAAATTTATAATTATATGATTTATAATCAATCAGATAGAAAAAATACCAGTAATTAAAAACAATAAATTTGATAATATAACTTTATAGTAAATTACTGGAAATTCAAAAAAAAAATATAATAAAAATTAAAATTTCTTTATATTAAAATTTTTATTTTTATTAGTAAATATTTTTGTTTTTATATCAAAATAAAGCTAAAAATCTACATTTTAACATATATTTTTTATAGATTTTTTAATTTTAAAAATATTTTAATTGATAAAGTTAATTATACAAGCTTTATAAATTTTAATTTTAAAAAATTTGTATAACCAACTTTACAATCAGAAATATTCTTGAAATTAAATTTAAAAAATCTATAAATAAAACATATTAAAATACAAATTCTTAGCTTTATTTTGATATGAAAACAAAAAATGTTTACTAATAAAAATAATAATTTTAATATATATTTTATTATGCTTTTTTTTGGATTTCCAGTAATTTCTTGCAGATATGTATTAGCTTGCTTTATTATAGTTGCATTATTTTCATTAATATAATATAACAAATATTATCACAAAGATCTTTATAAAGTATCCTAAAGAAAATAGCTGATTAAATAGTATTTATTATAGTTATAACAAAAACTTATACAGAACTTAAAAACATTGTTTTTATATAATTTTGATATATTTAAAAGAAGAATTAAAAGATATTTGATTCTGTTACTAATTGTATTTAAAAGTTTTGCAAGGAAATCTCAGTATCTTCCTCAGTTTCTTGGTCGTCGTCGAAAGTTTCCATTTCAACCTCGGGAAGTTCTTGTCCTGTCTATTTAAGCCGTTTTAATTATAATAAGTTTCACTATTCTAAATTATTGCTACAAATATAAACAAAAAGAACTCACCATGACCAAAGCGGAAGAACCAAATTCGCCCTTATTTTTCATCGCTTCCAAAATTGTCTTATCCTCATTGATCAACTCATCCACATTAAACTCTTTACCCCATGATGAAACTATCGTACTATCATCGGAAATTTTTTTGGATTCAATTGGAGGTTTTGTATAGAATGGAATCTTTCCAAAATTCCAATCTTGAAGAATGGATTTAGCTGCAGCCTTCAAATCTGGGATTCCACCTTTTTTAAGTCTTCCACGTTGTCGTGCAACAAGTATAAGAAAATCATTGGTGTCATTGAACATTGTGATGTTATACTTCTTGGCTAGTTGTTCTTGATTACAGCGTGATACTATCAAATCGACTTTTGAACAGTGTGAATGTGTAAATGTAGAAGTGAGTTCTAAATGAAATCGTGCGTGAAACTAAAGAATAAAATTCTTATATACCAGGTGTAATAGGATCATCCAACAACTCTACTTTGACACAATTCCTCAATAAAATTTCTGTATAACTATCATCACCCCATTGTGCACGACTAAACACAATTCCAGGACAATCCAAAAGCTTTATATTTTTATCTAAATGAATTTCCTGTGCGGTTTTTGTAAATCCAGGCGTCGCTCCAACACCACAAACTTTCGACCTCTTAAGGGAATTAATCACAGATGATTTGCCCACGTTTGGATATCCTATCACCCCAACAGTAATTGAGGTTTTGATGTTTACGTTACGACAATAATTCTTGAGTAATTTAATTAGTGTGTCGGCTCCTAAGCATTCATTACTATGAAGGATATTTTCAGGTACACTAGTTAACGAGCCAGAGGAATGACCGAGATTTTCACGTTGACTTTGCGTAGACGATTTAAAAGCAATTGTAGGATATTCATTACGTAGGTAACTCAGCCATTGTATCGTGTTTTCTTTAGGTACAAGGTCTGGCAAAATAAAATATTGAAATGTATTATTCATCGATTCCATAAATCCAAATAACAATAAAAAAAATGAATGAAGAGTTACCAATTTTGTTCAAAACAAGGATTATCCTTTTATTCAGTCCACTATCAATAATCATTCGCTCAATTTGTTTAGTTCGACATCCCAACGGATCACGAGCATCAAGGACTTCTAATATCACATCAGCATTCTCTATCACTTTTTTGAACTCTTTGAAATAGGCCTTACGTGAATTATCTTTTTGTCCTATTGCCGCCACATCAGCCATTGTTGAAGACGCTTCATCCATACTATTCTTATTGGATATTTCTTTGGCGACAAATGCTGTATCACGTTTATTGGCATCTTTGGCTAACGATGTGAAGTCTAAATTACGGTTCCTGTTATGAAGATCATGACGATCTTGTTTTTGACGAATTCGTTCTTCTTCAGCCTTTTTTTAAAAACTAAAAATGATTATAATATTCAAATAGAATGCATTCAATGATAACACAGTTTTCGAAAATTCATTGATATTCACTTTTCGTTTCTGTTCTTCTATCTGATGTAAAAGTTTATTTTTAAAAGGCCATAGATTCGGAATTCCGGGATCTTTTCTCGGTTCTAAAGGAATCCAATTATTAATTAATATATTAATTTTGATCCCAGGCAAAATAAAATAAAATCAAATTAATACTGTTTTATAGAGATTATCAAAACACATCACATACTCGTTGGTTTTGGGTTTTTTTTTGCCTCTCGTCGTTCCTTGCGGTGATGTTCTTTGACTTTTTTATCGATCTTGTATTTTCTTGATAATGTTACACGTTTGCTTTTTGCCTCTTATGATTTTTCATGTATTCAAACAAAATAAGAGTTAAATATAATTACGCAATACTCCTCCTCTTCAAAGCATAAATGTAACTTACTTTTCCTAACCATCTTTAATTTTTAGATACCAAAAAAACTGAAAAATTTTTTTGAATTTTTTGTGATTGGTTGATTAGTTGTTGATGTAAAGTCACGTTCGTTATGTTACAAAAAATGTGCAAATTTTGATCAACCCGGCAAAACAAATCCGACGTAAGAAAATGAAAATTGCCTTGGTACACTAATTAACGTTAAAGGCAATTTTAATCCTTAACCTTAACGTCAACCGAGTGCACAGGATTTTTCTGGAGTAGTTTTATTTAAGTGTTACTGGATATACATGGTGTGACGATCAACTTGAGCCGCTAGAAAAATTCCAGACACAATAATAAGAAAATCGTCAACGCAAGACATGTACATGAAAAACTTTTTCAAGAGGCGAGATACCATATTAGAAATAAAAATTTACATAATATACATAAAATATAAATAAATATTTAATAGTATAGTTAAATTAAAATAAAATAAAATAAAATAAAGATATATATAAAATATAAAGATGTATAAGAGTATAAATAAATTTCTCCCCTCTATGCCATAAATTACCTACTCTAGACAGTGCTATATGGTGACCTTATGGCACTCTCTCGAGCGGCCAAAGACCTCTTTTTCTTCTGAGGATCGTTTGGACCAGGAAAAGTTTGTTCTTGGCCGCGCAATACCCCAGAAGAATAGAATATCTTTGGCCGATATTCCGGAAGCTCATCCATAACACTAATTCAAAAATGATTAATGAATTCTTATGTCAAAAGCTTCAACTCTTTTTATTTAAAGTAGATAATTCAATTTACCTGCTATTTCGGAATTTTTCGACCAAAGCTTCCTTGCCTTGAATATTGGCATAGGCAAGCTCACACACTTTCTCTGAGTTAAAGCAACTCCAGCGCCTTCCAACTCGCGCATCGGCAAAGGATAGAACTGCGCTGTTATTTGAATAAAATCATGTTAACTACTGTTTCAATAAATATTAATTTAGAAAAGCGTCTGATTCTCACTTCGCGTCTATAAAGTTGATGAATGCATAACCGACATTGCATCGGTTTTTAAAATCCATGCGCAGGTACAAGAAGTCGTACTGACCCTTGTGCGTCTCATCGAGAGTGTCTACTAACATGTGCTAAACGAAAGAAAATACGCGTTTAGAATAAAATGATCTCATTATAAGCAAAATAGAAAAAAATCAAATTACTTGAGTATATTTATTCGGAATGTTTCGAATCATGAAAGTAGTTCGTGAATCTTTGCCTATTATTTAATATGTTAAGATTAGCAACGGACAAGATAGCGTATATGTTTTAGATATATTAATTACCATTCGCGATATTTTTAAAATCGACCTTATTCTTCAGGGGAATTTCTCGATCTCCAGAAATGATAACCGTGCTATTGTTGGGTCCTGTTTGCTTTAACTTCTGTCCTCCTTTCTTTCGCACTGCTACGTCTTGAGCTGTCTCGAATAAATTCTTCGTCCCAGACATAAACGAACCATAAGCGGAGCCAGAATGAAAAGAATTCGATCCATGGGACGATTCAAAAGCAGACCCATGTGGCTGAAATCGTCTTTGTGAGAACATGCTGTTCCCAAGTTGTGTGTAGGGCGAATGTCCGATGGCGGGTGAACTTAAATATAAATTCTCTAGCGTTTTTTGAATGTATTCCGCCTGTTCTTTCTTTTGCTGAAAGACATTGATAGCCATCTGCCAGGAAAGCGGATCGTAATTATAATAATCAACTTTAACAGTCGCGTTCTATATTATTCAATTGCAATAAAAAGATTTGTTTTAGTAATTACTAAGATAGCAAAAAATATATATGTACCCTGATAATTTTCCCATTCAAGATTTCTTTCGCGCCGAAAGCATCGCGTGTATCATAGTATTCGACCAAGAACTTTTGAAGATTTGTCGAATCGAGTGGCGTCATCGACCGAACATCCCCATGAAAGTCTAATTCAGTCTATTTATATTTATTTCGAAATAAGTGTTAGTTTATATATAGAGTATATTATTTTGCAAAATATAAATAAAAGTTACCTTGATTGTTGACTCATTGAGCCGTTTATCAAGTATTTCTAACATTAAAATACCTTCGTTGTCCCATTTACTAGGTTTAGAGTTGTCTGATTGAGAGGACTGATAAAGAAAATTGATTAAGTTAGATAATTTGGCCCATGAATTCAAATTTCAAATTTATATTTACATTTTTCGAGAACGGTCTAGCACAAAATTCGACATTCAAGTGCTTCCCATTTATTAAATGAGTTCGAAGTTGTCTGCGTGCCTTAATAGCGTCGCGTATATCATAGAAGACAGCGTAAATGAAACCATGAGTGCGTAGAAATCGAATAAAAATTTCGTTGACTTCTCCTTGGCCCTATTTGTATATCAAGTCGATTATAAATTAGATTTATTAAACTGTAAAATATAATTTTAAAAATTACCTGAATAAGTTCAATTAGCGTAGGCACATCGATATCTTTTGGTAAATTAGCAATAAACAACCATCTCGAGGGAATTCCGCCCCAAGAGTTGCCAAATTTTGAACTTTTCGAAAAGATAGACGATTGCTTTCTCATAGTTTCAAGCGGAAGTCTTGGTAATCCTCCCTTGCTTTGGTCAGACACTTGATCAATATGAGAATCAGGCTGGAAATAAAACACATTTGTACTTTCTTGAGCAACGTATAATGTATCCTCTTTGTTGCGCTCTCCTTTGGGCGAGAGAAAGTGATGAGCAAGTTTACGCAATGTATCATCATCCAAATTGTGACGTGATTTATTGCATTGCGACATTTCGGTTTGATTCAATTTAACAGTCGAACCATTAGGACTGGTTGGTGGAGTAAGGATGTCCAATATCAGATTATTTACGTTGCTTGTTGTAGCAGAGAGATTGCTATTATGATCTGGTGAAGCAAACGGGATCAAATTTTGAGCGATGGATGACGGTAAACTGTTGTGAGAAATCAAACCCGCGGATAGACCTGGTTTCGATGTTTCTGATAATGAAGTTGATTCTTCAGCAGCAGCTGCAGCAAGCCGGGCTAATAAGATCGAGGTCGACGCGTTATAATCTAATAAATTATCACGCGACTTTAACTCTTTAACAGAAACATTGGTTAGAAATTCGGCATCCGATAATTTCATATTTTGTTCAAGATCATGAGTCGCGTTGACTTTGAGTGTTGACTCAACTGCCGCGTTTCGCTTATCAATGGAGCAATCTAATATTCAGGCGATTACATTGATTTAATTACCATGAAACGAGCGTAATTAATGACAATCAATTAATTGATTAATTACTGATCACTGTATTCGTCGACGATTCATCATTTTGATTGATGACTGGTTTCTTGAAGCGGAAGGTTTTATTTTTCGCTAGTGTAGGGGACTCATCTCTCGAAATAAAATCCGAGTTCATAGACATGTTTATGATAGTTACCTGGAAAAATACAAATCACGTGATCTTTCGGTATGAATGCAAAAAGCAATGGTAAAGACAGCAAAGAGGATTGATAAATGCCACAAACTTTTCCTTCTTTTATTCTTTGCGAGTGATTTCAAGCACAGTAAGGTCGCTGTAAATGAAATATTTTTAAAGAAGGTGAATTCTCAATTCGTAATTAGCTAGCTAATGTGTACAAAGTTAGTGTTCATTCGCGATACCAAGCTCAGATAAGAGAAGAGGTGAATAAGTTGTGAAAATATTAATGAAATATAATAGAGAATTAGAGAAAGCTAAACTTTATTTTATTTGTGCGAAAAGTAGCGAAAAGATAATTCGAAATTCGCAACTTTAACTTTAAAAGTCAACGTTGAATTTTAATAGCGTTTGAAGTGTATATAAATAAATGTAGAGTATGTACGCGAGAAAAATATAAAGACGCGTCTTTACCTATTAGTTCGTGTTCGATCTGTTTAGAAAAGAAGACAAGTGTGTGGAAAGCAGTTCGAGTATGTAGATTATAGTTGCAATATATATAGCAAGGGTAATTGATCAAATTAATTTTATTGGTTGACTTTTTTAATAATTAATATTTGGTTGAACTGATACTCGAGATATTATACATGACAAATCCAAAATATTGATACAAACGAGAACTTCTTAATAAATCAGGTCGAAAGACTGACTGATTGATTGATTGATTCTTTCGTCAGCTTGATTTGGTAGTTTAATTTAGAATCCACATTGAACTATTGACGATATCAGATCACTTTTACTCGTATTTGCAAGTATAAACTTGATTGAATGTAATCCGTTGTGCAAAATTCAATAAATTCAATCAATTTCGGAAAAAAGAATCAAATTTTAATTTTTAAGAGTCTGAAAAATTGAATTTTAAACTAGCTCTATATGTGCTTGTTTATAGAAATTGAAAAAATTCTCGCGTTAGTTTAAATTCTAATATAAGCTAGATCCAATTTAAATTAAGGAAAATGATGGCTAAATTTTCAAAGTTAAACCAATGCCAAAGTATATAATCTAAAATTTGCAGATTTTGTGACTTTAAAATGTAATGTTTATATATACAGTGAATTAATTACGGGTTCATGCGAATTTAAATGGGATTAAGAGCGCAGAGAACGTACAGTTATATCACATGCTAGGTTTAAAAAGCTTAATTTCACGAATTAAAGCAATGATTCATATGACGTATTTATGATCGATAACTTCCTAAGAAAGTAAAAGAATTCTACAAAATCAATATCATTTAAATTCCTCCGACTACCTCCAACAATCTTTAATTGGTGACGTTTCTGCTCATAGTTGTGATTGTTTTAACCAGATGACGACTTTATCATTTCTACGACGACAGCAGCAAAATCGACTTCCAAATGAAATTCTGATTCTGATCTTGGAGAAATGTGCCAATGATTTTGGGTAATATTCAACTCGTTATTATGTATTTTTGGCTTATAATAATTATCCACTAAATTGGTATTATAAATATAATTGTATAGTCTAATTGATGTTTGGCGTTGGCGACGTGTTTCAAAATACATGAAATCTATTTGTGAAAATCTAGTGTTGAAAGTTATTCGACATGATTTCAAATGGTGGATTACTGTTACGGTAATTCGAATAATAATAATATATGGAAAATACAAATGGCAATTAATTAATTTCTAACTTTTTCATTAACGTTAATAGCCAATCTCGAACCCCATTGAATCCCTAGACGAACTGGCAGTTGTTGATCTCAACAAATTCGATATCTCATTTGTCACCACAAATAGTAATGATATTATATGTACCAAATTCATCTTTCAGCCTTCAAATGGTGAATTCAAAATTAGCTCAACAGAGACTACGTTCGCGTTGGATCTTTCTAATCGTCGATTTAACGGCTGTACTTATCGATACGGTATCGTAACCTATGATAATAACTTAGAAAATGGGGATGTTAATAAAAAATATGTCATTTTAGAAAATGAAGGGACTAGATGCATTTTGGAGAAAATTTATGATGGGAATACTATTAGTAATAATATTCATAATGATAATAACGTGGACATGTATTGTATCTTGAAGATGGAGATTGAAGCGCGTTGGAATGTTTTTGTTAGACTTGATCATAAATGCTTAAAAGCTGTTTTACATTAAATCTTCAACATCAATAGAGATTTTCTCATAATTTCTACCAGCCTTAGAAATTTTCAAAATAATTATTCAATTATATAATTCATATTATGATAGATTATCGAATAAAAGAAAATAGTGGTTAACGTTAAAAATTAATCAATTGGTGAAACAAAAATAATTACTCTACAAGCAAAGTAGATCTACCCGCCCTTAAAAAAACATAGATTAAACCAAAAAGGAAACGCGATAAAAAGATACCAAAAAAATTTATCGTTATTAGTGGAGTTGAATCACTTCTTGGAGAAAAGGAAATTGTTTTTATGAAGCTAGCAAATCAATTTTATTATTCGTTTATTATTGCATAAATAAACTGCAAAAACTTGTATATGATTTTGTCGTCGATTCGAATACAAGATTATGTTCCGAACGTGTATCGTCTATTTAGAAACGGAAAAAACAATAATCGCATAACGCATTGTGTTCGAGCCTATATATGACAATAACAATAGTAATATATACACAATAAAATTATTTTTGGTATTTTAAAATATATTGAGATTAACCTTAAATAGTTCTAAAATAAATATATTTCTATTACGTTAAATAAAGTTATAATATCAGTATATTTTCTTCTACACTAAAATGATATCAATCAACCAAGACCTGTATCTATACGTTTTTGGTGTGAAAGTAAACAAAACTGACAGGAAGATTATGTATGCACTTTGATCAAACAAATCGACGGTGCTGCAAAGTTTATTAAGCATACTATTCTCAATACAGGCTTGCTTTTAGCATAATAAAAAAATGGTATATTGTTTAGTTAGATATTTTTTAAAAAAAAAGGGCGGACAGACAGATAGGCAAATTTACACAAGTCTAAGTGAATGAGTGAATGTACATTATACATGTACACTACAATAGATTGAATGAAAATGTAAAGATTCGCTTTCATCTTCTTTTACCGACTACTTTTTTAATTATAATGAAAATAAATTTCTTATTTAATATCAATCTATAGTAATATGTAATTTAATATATGCAATATTTACTTTGGTAATTGTAATTGATTATTACCGCGCGTCAAGAGATTTACATATGCATGTAATTTTACGCGAATTGCTTTTCGTATCCGAAGATCTTGTACGAATTTGACATTAATATAAATTTTCATAAAATATTCTGAAATTAGCGAGATTATTATGAATTTCATAAAATATTTTGAAAACAGCACCATATTTAACTGATGCCATATAAATTAAACAGCATAGAATAATAATAATAAAAATATTCATGTTACGCAATAATGTACTCGCAATTATTTTCTCAATATAAGTGTATTTATTATATTTATATAAAAAATTCTTTATTTATATATACAAGCTAACCTTGCTTTTTGTGTTATGCTAAATTGCGAACCGGTAATTTAAATATATGCTATTATATTATATGATCTGAATGAACTATATTATTTTATTTATCAATAGAATTTATGACATGGAAATTTCATTACATGTTACATAAATATATAAGGTGAATGTGCAATAAACCCTTATTTCTAGAGTTGCCAACATCTATTTTCCCAACAAAAATTGTTCATTATAGCATTCTTTAATGTACATAAGTGAAATAAGGAAACCATGGGCCCGATTTATCCGTAGACTTATTAATTCTTTTGACAAGAATTTATCGAAATCATCATTTCATCATTTGTGCTTTTACACGTGTAATTAAGAACATTGTATTAAAAAAAAAATGTGAAATACTTATTAATAGCAAGTATATGTAAACATTACATATGCGCTTTGACTCCTCCCAAAATTGAATTAAACGATTCGGCCGAATATCTTTAATTTAAGAGTACACATCTCACTTTTCATAGATATGACGTTTTAGTAAGTCCCTTTATTCACATTACGAGAAAAAGCTTATTTTATTTTCCCCTTTTTGAAGAATATGGCGTTTATGCATATTTTTTGGTTAGATCCAGAATTATACGTTCGATGGTGTACGTCCCAGACTCTGATGTCATAAATACATTTTCAAATAACCGATTTTTTCCCAGGCAATGCACTAAAATGCAAAGAGCGACCGATTTAACATTTCTAGGATCGATCCACCGAAAATGATGAATTACGACATAAAGAAGATCATTTCTCAAATATTATTATTTTGGATCTTTGGCCCCGAACCAGACATCCAAGAGTCAAAGTCAAGAGCATAATAGTTTAATTAGCATGCATCATGCAATTGTATGTATGTAAGCATATATGTTCTAGTTTTCTTTTTTCGGAAAAAATTTTCCATTCACCAGTAGTTTCTTTTTTCGGAAAATATTCCCATTCACCTCATCTTTGTGTCGATCTTAAATTAAAAATTGAATAATAGATTTGTTTTCGGAAAAAACGACAGATTTTGCGTACATCCATAAATGCACCAATTGTTCATTGTGGAAAAAAATCAGTTTTTACGAATCAGAATAATCTGTATGCGTATACATGTATGAATATGTAGGGTGCAAATATGATTATAACGATAACACAATATTTGCATGCAAGAATGTGTGATATATCAAGGTTATCTTTTTTCTCTTTATTTGATTTTGTTTCTTGCGCCTAATTTATTAATAACGATAATAATAATAAAAATAAAGCTCTCCCTATATCTTTTACTATGGGATATAAACGTGCACAAAAATGAATATCTGACATTACAAACGTGTAATAATTGCAGTAAATCCTTGATTTATTTAACCTAGACTATTAACGTTAGGGAATTACGCTATATATGACGATTACGTGTATTTCCTTATGTTGTCATCCTCGCATCAGTTATCTAATGTTCTGTAGGCACCCACGTTGACGCAGGTACAAATATTATTTCTTATCAATTATTAATAAAATTATTCATTGGTGCAAGCCAAATTTTTAATGCTAAAAAAGTAAGTCAAACAAAGCAGTCTTTATTTGTACTGATTTTAAACAAGTAAAAAAAATCCTTAAATTTATTATGCTTTATTGAATATTTGATAATTATAAATATCAAATAAAATATAATAAGTTCAAGTTTGTGAAAATTTTTGAATCAAATTCGCTTTAATATATCTTTGTTTTGTTAAATTGTTGTTGCGCTCTTCTTGTAATAAACGCCACTCTCACCTGCCAAGACAATTACGTGACACATTAACAAACACCGAGAAATATGTCTTGGCACTGGCCCTTGAACCCACCCCTTCAATCAGTACTTAACTTCGAGACTAAAGACATTTTCGTGCTTGATCGTGATCGTTAGAAAGAAAGTACAATTTTTGCAAAAGCTGCTTCTCTTGCTGGTAGTGCAACTGTTTGAGTCGTAGTAAATAACATTGGTAAGAGCTTAACCAAATTATTTAGTCATCACGATCATGATACCTTTGTGATGTCGAACCTCGCTTTGTTAGAGCACGTGTTACAGTAACCAGCCAGAATAAAATTATCAAATCGTTTTTATCTTTTTGCCTTTTATGTCATCCATATGTGTGGTAATAATTAATATATTCTCATAGTACCTACTAAAATTGCCTAATTAATATTAATCGATAACAGCACCAATAATAGTTCCACCCGGTACAACAACTTTATCAGAAATAAACTATCAATAAGAGATTATCACTACTGTTACATTTTACCTTAATATTGTACAGAATTGGCTTAATCAACTATTGAAAGAATAGAAATAGGAACATCAACCGATAAACTTTCCCATTATTTAAGTCTTAGTGCATATTACGCGCGTTTTTTTTAGTTTAGAGCCGGCGTGTGGCTAAAGTTATTTTATTTTCGCAATACAAGAAAACGCCACATAGAATAAGTGATGGCCAGCTTTCATTCCATTCTACAATACGTATTTGCACTGTGCGGTGTAGCGTCTATCCGTTAGGTACGATGATTACCAATTGAAATAAAAGAGCTTTTTTTGTTATTACATCTATTTACGTCGAATAAAATCAAAAGTTCAAACTTTGATGGATTTATCGAGTCGAATAAGGGTACAAAAACACAAAATTTACATTATGCATTTTTCCTGTTCAAAGGTGATACCATCATGTATGTGTTGTAATAATTACCCACAAGATTATTACGATTTGTTGTTTTTTTGACGATAAATACAAACAAATAATAATATGTAACGTACACCAAAATAAACAATTCAAGAACTTGCACAACAATGCGCATTGTATACTTGTATATGAAATTTTGAATGAAACGATCTTCAAAATTATTGGATAACGATAATAATTTGACCAAAAAAAGCATGAAAAACATGCGGGAGAAGAAAATACTAGGATTTATTGAGAGATTCCATTGTTGGAAAAAATTGATTTACGATCGTAATAAATGCTATGAATCGGAACTAAACCGAGGCATATTATTTAAGAACAAACAGGTAACAAACAGGTAATCGTATAATTCAAACGTAGAAATTTCTGATTGAAGCGAATTCTGAATATGCATATTTAAAATAAAAAGAACACGACTCGGTCATTATTTTGTTCGCTGTTCGTTCTCACGATTTTTTTGTTACGTGATGAAAATTCCCGTTTTAATTGTAAAAATTCGCGCGTATCCAGATTTTAAATAAATAAATTTATTCTTTGTGCAGCCATTTGTTTCTCTTTGACATTCAATGAACAGAAAGGACATCTCATGAACACGGACATGACATGACATGGCAGCTGCTTTCTGCCGTTTTTATAATAGACAATTGCATCTCTTTCTACACACATAATAACTGCAACAAGTGTTCAGGTGGTTGGTTGTTGCCGGAATTTTTTCTGCGTGTAAAAAATAAAAAGACGATGACGGATCTATGTTTTAAAGAAATCTGATATGATCGATATTGGCTCCTTAATAAAATAAACAAACTTGGTATTTATGAGATATTGATTCTATGTGTGCACATACATGTGCTGTACATACTGCATAACAACAATTTTTGGACGCCAGAGGCAAGTTTATCTATCGAGTCAATCGATCGTTCCGTTTTTTATTTTCGAACCGATCAAACATGTGCGAATACCTTGTATTTATATATTTCTATCTTTATAGAAATTAATTAACGGAGGACGTTTCATTCATTTCAGAAATCCGATCAAACCCTATTCAATTTATGCATGTTAAAAATGGGCAAGTTGATTTGTACTTTCGGCTTTTTGAATTTGCCAAAAAAAGTCACGAAATAAAACTAAAATCTCTACATGTGATAAATAAAAATGATTGTTTCAAATTACTACGAAACGCGGGCCAAACTCTCGTTTTCATCAGTTTCTTTTGCCGCCGTTTCGATTAATTAAAAAATCATGGAATCTACGCAATTATGAAAATTGCGATCATTATTATTTCCGTATGCTGTATTACCCAACATAATACATGAAAAATAGTGTCTTCACGATGGTGAATTACCCCACCCCACGACTACCTGTTTAGTGAACGTACAATATATGTTCATGTTGATTATGAAGATGATGATGAATGATGATGATGATTATGATGATGATGATGATGATTATGATAATGATGATGGTTGGCTAGTTCGAGTTTTTTTGACGTTTTTTGTATACTGCTTATATCATATCAATCAAATCAATTAATAATATACTTTATATTACAATAATGTAAATAATATGTAAATAATTGTTCAATAAAGTAATGATCGTACATGAACGCATTGTTAAATATAAATATATTAATAGTAATGATCAGAGTCAGATACAATAACATAATGGCATATAGCTAAACTTTCTCGAATAAACTGAATTGAATGAGTTATAATAGACTAAACACTCTTCGAACGACAAATAAAAGATTTTTTCAGGCACCAGAGTGTAGCAAGAAAGAGACAAAATCGAACGCACATACAAATGTACGTATTTTAATCAAAGGAGGCTTTTTCCGTTCATTGACTAATTAGTCCTCGCCGTTTGACATTTTTCTTCCCTCCTTCTTAAATAGCATTATAAGAGTTGTTTTTTGGGGAATTTTATGTGCCGAGCCAAGCAGTCGCGGTTTTATTATATCGATGATCATAAATAGTGATGGTGACAATCAATTCTTTTTGCGTGCAGTTCAGTCCTTCTTAGTCTCTCAGTCCAGCCACAAAAAATCCAATAATATATTCACTTACAGAGAAAATTTTGTTTTACAGGCACAAAACTCATGTTTACATACAATACAAGCTTTATTATACACGCGTGCGTATTTGAAACACACACTCGGTCAATTAATTGAGAAAATCAAAATCAAAATAAACAAATTAATTGAAACTTTCAACAGAATAATAGCCATAATAGCAATAATGTTACTAACAAATAAATAAAGATATCAATAAATTATTGATTTGAAACGTAAAATAAAAATCCAACCGAAACTCGATCTGTTTGTCTAAATCGAAATCGCAAAAGGTTAATATATATACTAATATAAATAAATACAATACATAAAAATAATTGTAATTGTTGGATATATAAATAAAATAGTCGGTTGATTGTACTCCTATCTATTAATTAAATATACACAACACATATTAGATACACAAAAAATATACATGAATACACCTAAGTATATATAAAGAAAATTTTCACTCGTACTTTCATTACACTTTGTAGTATTTATATAACACCGTTACCATCCGCAATCTCCCTTTACCAATATATTATTCATAGCACCTCTACCAAAAAAAAGCTCCAGGAGAGAACAATAAAAAGCGAGAATTTTTAAAGATTACTATAGATATTGTCGTCTTTCAAGAAAAAAGTTTAATAATAATAATAATAATAATAATAATAACGATAATAATAATAATAATAACGATAATAGTAATAGCACTACTTTTAGAAAGAACCATTTAGGTAAGCAAAATAACGATAACTTTCATTTTATGTTTTTCATTTTTTTTTTCGTTAATACGACATACACAGAAACACACGATAAACCAATAAACTTTGTTACCCATCTTTTTCTTTTTATTTTATTTCCTTTTCTTTTCTCTTTCACCTCGCACCTTTTTACATATTTACTTACACATACACACGCACAAGAAGAGATCGTTCTTCAAAAACCTCGTCGTCTTTCAATTAAGTTTATTTTATCAATTATTTGTTTTTATTTATTTGTTTGTTTCATTGCTCGGCTTTAATAGCATCCGCCGTATTAGTAATAATCATGTTAATGTAGGTTGTTCGTTAACATTTCATCGCCGATTACTTTTTTGATAATTCATTCAATACTTTATCGTTAGACCCACAAATCAAGCTAATAATAAAGTTGTTTCAATCAATTCTTTATGATCATTTATTTTTTATTTCTATCTCTACCTCTATCTCTATATTTCTATATTTCTATATCTCTATCTCATTTGACTAACCAAAATCCAATAAATTCATTATCGTTATTAAACCAACCATCATCCGCCAATAAACACAAATAAACGCTTACTCACACAGAAGCACACGACGATTACACGAACACAGTATACTCGCACAAAAGTACACGTATCCTATCATTATTATAAAACGCGTTCTCGAACAAAAATCTGGTAAGTCTAAATTCTTTTATTTACATTTGGGTATATATATATCTATATATAGATATATATGTTTTGCTTCTCGCTCTCGCTCTTTTTTTATTTGTTTTTACCAATTTTTGTATTTTTACCACTTCTACCATTTTTTTTTGTACTTTTATCAATTTTATAATTTTTTTCATTCGTTGTCATGTGCATGGGGAATTAAACGAGAAACCAAGAGAGAGAAAGGAGTGAGCGCAAGAAAATAACATTAATATTAATATTAATATTTAAAAAGGTGGACAACACCTTAACACGCATTCACTAAACACTGCATATTTCAATTATTATAATCATCAATCAGCTTCATCATGCAGGGATTAAATATGCCAGTTCTTTATTCCGCGTGGATGAATCCTTCAACTTCTACTTTATCCGCCGATACCAATACTGATAATGATGCATATAATATCAGTAGTAACAGTAGTGGTAGCAGATGCAATTCACTGTCATCAACACATACACAAGCTCAAATAACCACTACCCAAACACCCCGTTCGTTACACCTGCGAATGATTAACAATACAGCAGCTACGGCTTCATTACCACCAGTCACCGCCACCACTGCAAATACCACCATCATAATAAACACTACATACGATCCTGTCTGTTGCAGCAGGAAATCTTCTATTTCTTCGATAGCCACCTTTTATTCCTGCAACTCTTCATCGCTCACTTTTTCGCCTCGACAGCAAAACATTATTTGCGAAAAAGCAATATTAGATTCTCTTAAAGAATCTTCAAAGGACAATAATAATAATAATAATAATAATAACAATAATAGTGATTCTGTTATTGTAGAAAATCAACAACAAAATAATAAAGTCGATCATAATCATAACATGTCATCGAAATCAGCATCACCGCCACCAAAAAATATCGATGGCTTTGATTACGATGAGAAGAGTTATGAAGAGGAAGAAATAACGATAAACGAATCACCAAGTAATAATAATAGTAGAAGAAGCAGTAACAACAGTTGCTGCATAGACATAAATAGCGACAATAATAGATCAAATTCACTTACAAGAAAAGCAGCTGCGGCAATTACAGCTGCTGATTTATATCATTATGCTGGATATCATCTTGCATCGCAACATCGGTCAAGTGTAACAACTACCACCACCAAATGTAATAATAATCGTAACGATGATGATAATGCTGATGATTCTACAACTACAACATATCAACAACAGAAAAATATCAAAGATAATAATGTAAATAGTTTGAGCAAAAAAAATAAAAATCTATTTGATCATCAAACAAAAGAGATGATTCAAGTCAATTGTACCAAAGCAATCAGCACTATTGTGAAGACGAAGATCAGGCGAGCCAAAAGGTCACCTTTTCGATCACCGTTATTAGGTGGTGGTGGAAATGTGATTGCTGTCGTTGGATCAAAAGGTTCGTTTTTTATTTTTATTTTTTTTTAATGTTATTAATTTTTTTATAAATCGCCACCAAATATTCAATCACAATCACTACCACTAAGCCTAAGCTCGTATATATATATAAATAACTATATAATATATTTAGATATACATAGTTAAATTATATATATATAACATAAATATGTTCATATATTTATCTAACTTTTTCTAACTACTTTGTTAATTAATTCTTATGTCTACAGATAATAACAATAAACAATGTAATAAACTGGAAACAGAATTATCCCGAAAACCTACCCGGATCCAACGTATTAAAAGGTCATTTTCGATGGGCAAATCACCACCTGAAACACGTACTGTGAAAGAGGAGAGTGGTACTTTCCATTCTGCTGAATGTCTATTACATGAACATAACTTACAAGCAGAAAGTAGCAAAGCAGATATAACACGCTGTACTTGCCGAAAATCATCGTCATCTAGACAAAATAGTCAAAGAAACAAATTTTTGTCTTTTGGTGCAAACAAGAACAATAATTCATCATCTTCAGTAACTGTCAGTGGCACTGATTTACCATCACCCAAGGTCAATGATGACAATAGTGAACGGAAAAATATAGTCCGTAGATCATGGTCACAAGTGGAAGTTCGTCATCTACGGAACTTATTTGATCTACGAAGAGTCTACCGGCAAGAAATCAAACGACGAAATTCATACACGTACACGAACTCACCGCAGATAATAGACCAACTAGCTGGAGAATCTGAAATTCGTGCAATGAATTCTCGTGGTGGTAATGGCGATTCGATGTGTGATTACATTTTTGGTGATCTTGAAGAAGAAGATTTATTGGCTGCTGGGCAAGAATCTCATCCTCCATTGGATCTTTTTGAATTCCAAGCTCAAGAGCAAAAGGCGACAGACGTCACTTCTCGTTGCCTTCAAATGCGCAGATTCAAGGCCTTTGAAATATACTCAAGCGAGCACAGTTATTTGAATCATCTGCGGACTCTTAAAAAGGTAATTTGATAAGTCACTTTTTTTGAGAATAACTATAATTTTTCTAAGTTTGCATTTAATTATCTAGTTATTTATGGATCCTTGTTATGAGGCTGCAAAAAAGCCAAATCCAACAATGAATCCCGCGGATATTCAACTAATGTATGCGCACATCATTGATATAATAAGGCTGTCCAGCAAATTAGTACGCAGTCTTGCTAAAATACAGCCGTGGTTAGACGATGAATGTCGAGTTGGCGAGATATTCCTAGAGTATAGTAAGGAATTTGAGGTTTATCAACTATACGCCGATAATCATTTGGACAGTCGCGCGGCAATGGAGCGCATAGATCAAAAAACGTTGTATCGCAAGTTTGTTCAGGTGAATAAATTATTGCAATAACATTTAGAAAATAATGATGATACGAAATCTTTTTTATTGATATTTTTATTTATTGTACTTTAGGGATCGCGATCTAAAGATCGAAACAGGCTTGATCTATCAGGCTATTTGATCATGCCGATACAACGAATTTCAAGATATCGGTTGCTCCTTCAAGGTGAATAATTCGAAGCGCGTTTAAAATTTAAATTTACAAATGATTCTTTTAGTTATTTAAATTGATGAGATCCTTTTAATTTCGCTCCCAAAATGTAGAGCTTATGAAACACACGTTGGAATCTCACCCTGATTTCGATGATTTATCGCTCGCATTAAAACAAATGACTGCGCGTGTGGCTGAATGCAATAGTGTTTCCAAGTTACCCGAAGTGCGATGAAGATAATATTATTCGCCTTCCGCCGACAACAATACATATCGTGCCCAGTTGTGTCGATTATGGGACATCAAAAAATGAATCATCATCACACCATCATCATCACAAATACAACAGTATTTAAAAAACTACCATTATTAATTAATAGTATTAAAAGGTAAATCGGGACATTTTTTTCATAAACAAAAATATATTGACAATTTTTCCTCATCATCTGTATCATTTTGTCTCTTCCTTTTTGATCTATTTTTTTTGTTTTGTTTAGTTTTTATTACAAAAAAAAAACTATCTTTTTTTCAACCTTTCTATTGTAAATATTTTTTATCTTCTACCAAAATTCTTTTGTATTATCGTTTTTTGGATTTATCCAAATCAAAAAAAAAACTATTTTATTTATATATATTATATTCGTAATAAAATAGTAGCGGTATAAAAAACTATATGTATACATTTGTATTTTTTTCCTGTAATCTATCTATTTATTTTAACTATATCAATATCTTACTTTTTGAATCCAATCCCTTGATACTATTATTAAGAATTTTTGGTTTTATGAATATTATTAAAAATTAGGTAGTTTTATTATAAATATCAATCATTTATAATTATGTATATTCATTATATTCACTGCGATTTGTTTTTGATTATTTTTATTTGTTATTCAAACTTCTTTTCACGATTATGATTAATTTTTATGTGGAAAGTGAAGGTTAAAAATTTATTATTTCTACAACTAATTCGAAAAATAGGTACTTATGCTTATAAGTGATTTACCACAATTCATTTCTATTGTTATATCAATTGAGTGTAAGTTTTATATTTTAGTGTATTTCTTCTGAACTATTGTTTGATTTTTATTACTTGTAAAGAGAATTATTATTGTTCTCATCATATAAAGCATTTAAAAATAAAATGAAATCTATAATATGATAATAGTCAAGCAAATCAGTAAATCTTTGAAAATAATTTGAATTTTATATAATTGATGTATAAAAAAATTTTAAAATGCAAGATTTTGAAAGTTTATTAAATAACATGTTTATTTCTATTATTTAAATATAAAAAATCAATTCGCTTGCTTTTTACTAACTTTTATATATTGCATTATTTTTAATATATTTTGTAAAATTTTTTTGATAAAGTTTCTCAAGAAAATTTTGATTTCAATTTTTCAAAATTGAAGAAAATTATATAATCAAATCTTAATATACTAATAATTAGTAATAATTAGTAAAAAATTCTATAAATATTGTTATATTGAAAATTTATTATAAAAATCATTATATTAAGCAAATTTTATTGTGTTTTGAATCATTATTATTTTTACTATATTTTATTAATAAAATTACACACGTGATTCCATAATTTTATTAGCTATTATATATAATTTATTAATATAATATATCAATTTAATTAATAAATATTTTTTATTTTTATATTTTAATATTATTGTATAATGGAATTTCACATTAATTATTAGTCAAAATTATCATTTAATCTTATTGGATAATTTTGAGAACACATGT